TTCTCGGTTTGAGGTGCCCTTAGGATCTCGCCGTCCCCAAACCCGGTGACGCTGTAAAGGTCATCTACGGGCAACAGCATACACACTCAAAAAAAAACTTGCATTTTCTTAAGTTTGTGAGTTCGGTTGCAAATTGTAACTACACAATCTACAATGAGGTAAGGTATAAAAAATATTTTACTAGAAAAAATACCACTCCGTCCAGGTTTCTGACAAAATTCGAACCCGCATCTACCGCGGGAATGCGAAATTTTTTCGTGTAATAAATTCTTTAGATTTTAACATCTAGCAATTAAATGATGAAAAAGAACAGGTAAGGTATACTATAAAATAACGGGATGTACAATGAAAATGGTGACAAATTGATGAAGACGGTTGAACAGAATGATTTTTAAAAAAAACACCATCATTTGAAAAATACCTGTTCGTTACTAAAGTTACGTTCAATTAGTTTTAAGACGTGCAACAATAACTAATCTAATTTCGGTGAGACAGTACGTAAAGCTACGGTTGTTAACTTTTAAAGGTGCTTTAAATGAGCGAACAAAAAATTGTTTTAAATTTAACTAATTAGCTTTAACATTATGTAGGCAATTGTGCGATGTTTTCTTGTTAGAAGCTTCAATGCTTCAAATTGTAGGTTAAAGAAAATTATATAATGCGGCCAACGGCTTTTAATATTTCTTTGTTAATTCAGAATATCAAATGGGCATACAAACGATATATGTGTGCAGGATTGGGTTATGTATGTGTCATTGTTTATGTGTGAGTGTCGTAGTTAGAGTTCTGTTTTATATGTGTATACGTTAAACTGCGTTATTATGATGCTATCTATGGCTACTCGCTATCGTGTTCCTCCATGGATGTGAAGTTCATTTGAGCTTCTCTGCTATTGGAAAGATATAATAATATGTATTTTCTTATTTATTTACTTGTATTTTTTCAAATAACGACATCGAAAAAGGAATGAGTGTGGAGCAAAACGCGAATTGGGCAACTCCTGTGGAACGTTCAAATAAACTAAATGAAAAGCCCGGTATATATATAAATATATCTATAGGTCTTAATATTTTTTATTCAAATAATGTCTTCATAAAATAAGCTTCACGATTGAGCAAGCCATACAATACTACTTGAGCTTCGAACCTGCCTAAGTCTGAATTCTGAGCACGCCACTGGGAAACTCGACCTGACGAACACCGTTCAATGTGAAAGCAAAAACAAGGGAAAACTTTTTTCTTTGTAGATAGCGGATCTTACCGTTGACCTCAGACGGGAAAACAGTACACAGAACTGGACTTCGACGTCGCTACTGTGGTAAGTGGAATAAATAAATAAGTATTTCCAACACTCACACCAATTAGCCTAGCCCCAAAGTGCTTACTTTGGCTATAAGGCTTGTATTATGGGATACTAGAGTAACATATACTGTTTATATATAAGTATTTTTTATAGATATACATATTAAACATCCATGACTGGAGTACAAATCCTCGTATTCATCACGCAAACATCTGCCCCCACCGGAATTTGAACCCGGGACCTCTCGAGTCGACGACACCATGAAACTACAAACCACTCGGCCACAGAGGTCGTCAATACGTACCTAGACCTACTGGTCTAGTCAGCCAAATTATTTACGTACAAAGGTTTGCATCGAATACCGGAATTTATAGTTAACTAGCTGACCCAGCGAACTTCGTACCGCCATAAAAAAATAGGGGTTGGTGGTAGAAGGGTGAAAATTTAGGGTAGTATGTATTTACTAATGCTGTATCATAAAAAAATTAAAAAAAAATATCTAAAATTGAAAAAACAAAATTTAGGGGTGGATTACCCTTAACATTTAGGGGGATGAAAAATAGATGTTGTCCGATTCTCAGTCCTACCCAATATGCACACAAAATTTCATGAGAATCGGGAAAGCCGTTTCGGAGGAGTTTAACCACAAACACTGCGACACGAGAATTTTATATATTAGAAGATTTTTCAGCCACCAGCCACGCTGCCGTTGGTAAGTAGTATCTGTGAAGTTAGCTGTTTATGAGTACAAGTTGATGAAGTTAATTGAGTAATGAACAAATTTTCTTCGAGGCATTTGTTATTTCAAATTAGCGCACAACAGCCCGCTTTTATTGAGACAACTTAGCGACCGCAGCGCTTCACTTATTTTGTCCATATTTCTGGGACACTATTTTCCACAGCGATCGTCCTCCTTCTCTCTAACCTCCATGGAATAGCGATGATGAAACAAAACGAAGATGAAAAAACTTTTTTGCTTCGTTTATCAGCTAGATTATCAAAAAGTATTGGACGCGTATTTTTTTTGCACAAAACAAAACATTACCGAGATTATATTGACTTGAAATGTACTATGACGTTGCGTCTTGGCACAATTTTTGTTTAGAAGTGATGTCACGAGCCCCAACTACTGCCGAGCAATATGTATGTCAACTTTTTTTACTATCATTTGAGGTGTGCGAATAAATAAAACTAAGAAAATAACAGGAAAAACAGAAAATATGTTAATATCTACATAATAAAAAAAATTGTGTGTAAACTTCTTTTCTTAAATAACCTAACATTAGGCGGTGCATAAGGTATAGGGGAATGGAGCAGCGCACGCTTCACTCATATAAGCGTTTCAGCCTTCGCCGAGTTACTCTCCAACTTTCATGCTCGCCGGTAAGAGCTCCCACGCATCCCACACACAAGCATATATATAATCGTGTGACGCTCGTAACGTATTTCCATTTCATCTTTTCCATAGGGTTTTTCCATTTACACCACCGAAAAGAAGTTTACTTAAAAACATAATTTGGATAGTTATAATGTTCCCGTCTTCGTCCCGTCTGCTGCCTGATCCGTGTGGAATATTTTCTAGTAATATTTTCTTTAGATTTAAACTATTTGGATAATAGGGATGTTGACTAATTTTCTTTTCTTCGATTATCAAAAAGTATTACGTACGTAACGTTACGTATTTTTTCTTTTTTCACATAATATAAACATTTCAGAGATATATTGATTTGAAAAGTCGCATGACGTCACGTTTGAGTACACTTTTAAGTGAAAATTCACTCAAAAGTGCCGTCACGAGCCCCTACTCCCAAACTTTGACGCGCTATAACTTTGTAATTTTTTGGTTGATTGCCCAAAGAAAAAATACGTGTCCATTATTTTCTGATCGTCTAACTGACGGACTAAATAGAATTTCGTTTACTGTACCCCGTCACCACCCCTATTTAAACTAAAACCACTAATAAATGCACTACAATACTCTTACTCTTTTATTCGTCTTTACAGACAATTCAACGTTATCGAAGAGTTGGGAGCAGTTGTAATTAATGTGTGAATTAGACATGCCCCACAGGCATCTTCTGTAGCCCAATCTTATTGTTATCAACGCAACACGGAAGCGCCGCGCTGTTGCAGCACGTAGTAATAAATAAACAAAAAAAGTTTAGAAGGCAAAGACCTCTTACGAATCTATTTACTGACATGCGATCTTCGTTTTTTTGCTCGCAGGTTGTAACTGAGCTTAGGTAGGTATTAAAAAAATGATGATGATATTACTAAATGCTTATAGCTTTGTGATCTATTTACAATCTATAAACCAACAGATATTAAAATGATCTTTTATGAAATGGTAGATGGTTTGCATTCTTTTATTAAGTCTGTAATCCATTATTATTTTAATCTTAAGGAAAAAATACTGGAATAAATTTCTCTCAGTCTAGGTTTCGGACGGCATATATTTTTCTTTTAATTTCGTTCTGAATATTTTTTATCAACTATTTCACTTTTATCATGTTCAAATATGAAAAAGACTTACACAGGGTTAATTTTGAAACATTAATAACCTTTTAGGGGGTGATTCTACCCATCAACAGGAACAACTGTTATTATGGGACCAACTCTGAAATCGCGAAAAAAAAAACAGCTGTGTCATACATTTCGGTCGATTAACTGATGCATTTTTGTATGAAACAGCAGATTTTTTTTGCATACTGTATACTTATTACAACCCCTTATACTTATTAGTTATAAAATTAGTGTTTTCCTGATTGTTAATGCTCAATAGTGGTTCAATAGTGAAAAAATATTTATTGAAATTGTTGAATCGTCCATAGGTTATAACTATGATGAGCTTACGGCGAACATAAATAGAGAAATATAATGTGTAGGTATTTCTTTATTAGATAAAGCATTTTAGATTTAATTAAAAATCTAATTAGGTACATTTGGTAAAATATACGTATTACTGATTATATTATTTTAATATATGAAACACTATAAAAAGGGAACGTCAATAGTCATGATTTTTGCTGATCCTGAGAAATCATTCGTAAATGTTATAAGTTGATTATTTAGATTTAAAATATCACCAAGGAAGTAATGAAAATTGTAAAACTAGTACATAGTCTATATTGTCTTAAAAGCCTTAATCTAAGACACAAAATTACTGATTTTTAAAGCATACCTACAAACCAGCCGTGTATATCACGACAGGTGTTGTTTAGATTCCAGTTCGATGCTGCAACATTTGTTTTTCTTGTAAATAGTTTTACAATTCAAGCAGAACATAATAAATAAATGTTACAGTATACGCACATAAACTTGTACCTAAATTGCCTTGTTATGTAGAACTCGTTCAATTATAATTTAATTGAATATAGCTACAGTTTATCATTGGAGAGCTCTTGCTTACTTCAGAAGAAAATGGTTTAATAACAAACAAATTGATCGAATGCAATTTACGCAAACATGACAAATTGCACTGTACAAGAACTAGTTAAAAGATTTCTTATCTAAAATTGTTGAATATGTCGAAATATCTAATAAGTATCATAGTTTTGTAACGTACAATGTACGTACGAAATATTTTCCAGTTTTCAAGAACACAAATTAACCCAGCGCTCTGCCTTAAAGAGCTGTCCGAAACTTTTGTATTCTTCATCGAATTCGCGTAACTTCACAGAAAGTTCAAAGCCACTTACCGTGTCGCTTCAGATCGGCGATGTCTTGCTGAGTGTGCCGGCGCAGCTATGCGATGCGCGAGGAGCAATGACTGGACGCGCGCACTTGACCTTCGGCGGCGAGTACACGCGAAACGGGCTCCGTACTCGTTTTATACTCAGTTTATCGACGTGACACACTGCTGTCGTGTACGGCTAATACGGAATGAACAGGTGCATTGGTTCTTGGAGAGCAGAATTATTAGTTTTGACAAAATTAGCATTATCTATATAAAGGTGAGGACAACATGCGACAGTGCGCATATTACATATTTTGGCGGAGTACATCTGGTGGTATGCAGCCAATAGAGAAATATTGCTTCATTTGCAACATTCAGCAGCTTGAAAGCTGACACATCATGACTAGATAATTTTCAAAGTATTGTGTGCATGTAAAATATTGAATTATTGTGTATTATCCCAGCGTAAATCAGGCTTTATTGAGCCGCACAGAAGGCCAGTTAGGAGGGTGTAGAGCTAGTCATGATGTTCAGTTTACTGAACGTTATCGTCCGTGTCTGTTTCTCTATGCGATCAGCTCATTGAGCTCACGACTGGAAGCCTTCCTTTCAGCCATTCCATCAAGCGAGCCCAGTACGCATTCGTGGGTGCATTTTTTGCATCTTTAACCAGGGTCAGCTGGGTAAGGACGGAGAAGCCAATTTAGTAAATTTTAACCACAAATCCGAAAAACAGTGTGTGATTTGCGGTTTTTTTTCTCCAATGGACAAATAAATCATCTGGAATTAAGTGGTTAAGGAAGAATAATTTCCATTAGCTCGCCAATGTAACATGAGCATTTATTTCATATAGGAAATCTAACTGTATAAATAACCTACATGGTTAGTTAGATTCCACGCATGGGGCGGACCAATCCGGTATATCCACATTTCTCACACAGTTTTATTTCTATGAAACCTGGAAAATTACTTATCTCTACGTATTAAGTGTGTGAGGCACCAACATAGTTGCAATAATAACTGGTAAACAGGGGACATATTGAACCGCATTCATCTTTTCCTTGCAGTGCCGACTACTTCAACCGTATGAAAAAGTTTTATTTCGCTGCAGATATTTTCTATTGTAGGTAGGTACATACTTAAATCTTATTTTTTTAAACTTTCATGATCACATGTATTATAGTAAAAGTAGGTACATGGTAGCAATCCAGTTGCCAACATAAATTCATTTTATAACTCGTTCGTGGGCTTCAAGTCGAGCGTTCTTTTGGTGTGTCTTGGTTAACTTTATAGTTGTAAAAATGCTGCGAATTTGCCTGTTGCGTCACGCATATCTATTTCACCAACCGTCCTCACCTTCTTTTATTCCCCTTTAACTTACATGTTTATAAATCTTTTGGTATTTGCTATTTGTAAACTTGACAAGCTTCATAAGGAATGAAAAGGACAAACTGATGTGAAAATAACGAATAGCAAATACAAATAGCCAAGTGAAATTCCGGCTGATTACACAGCGTCACGCCGCGGTAGCCAAACGTTTATGACTTATTTAGATTTCATAGAGACTCGACTGAATATAACGACCTGAGGCGTCCAATATTTTATTGCTTCTTCAGTATTTTAATTAATTTATTGTATCGAAACTTTTATTTCTGTACGATTAGTTTCCAGAACTAACAAACCGTATATCACCTGTCAGTTTTGTATCAACCAGTTTATTTTGATCCGCTACGCATCGCATTCATTCAACAAAACGGAAAAAATAGACTATACACAGGTATCTCACTTAACTGGTTAGCACTTGGTACTTAGAGGCTTTCATGTAATAAAGTCTCGGGAGGATAGGACAGAAGAAATCGTGTTGAAGAACTCAATTAGTTCTAAAATAAGCTTCCGACGGACAAATATTTGGAAATATGCATGCTAGCTATTTTGGAATATATACAAATTTAATTAACAAGCAGTTTACACCGTGATTTTGAGTTACATGAGAAACTTAAAAATCGTTTCAACACAAATAGTGAGACAAATTCGCCGTCCCCGTAAGATAAAAAGATTTTTAATACATTTAGAATGTTTTGATAAACTTAATAGGGAGAACAAGTAACAATAAGTTAAAAGGGAGATATTTATAAAATAAAAATTTAGTCAAAATGAATCAACATTTAATTTGTATAATGTTGATTATCTTATAAAATAGCGTTAACAAGGAGCCAAAACAAATAGTGCACCACTAACTCATTTTATTATTCTATGGGTTTTCACTCTTCACACAAGTGAAAACGATAATACTTCAATATAATTTTATTTTCGTAAATATTGTAAAACTTTTTTTCTGTAAAGGACTTTAATTCCAAAACTGTTGTAGGCGATGGATGAGCTGCCAAGTTATCATAGTTGTTTCCGGACAACATTTTAATCTCAACTAAAGCCAATCGCCAAATATTACAACGTTTAGGCGTGAATAAAAATGTTTATTTATGTATAGTCGAGTTATCCCATTTCTTTGGAAATTGTTACAGAACCATCGTATAAATTGCGATGTCAATTCTTTTTATACGAGGCGCAACGATACGTCTACAGGTTGTTACAAAAATACAAATAAAGCTTGAAGGGCGTTGAAGTACATCATAAAAGGAGTCTTCTCTAATTTTCTTAAAATATTTGCATGAAGTTTTAACTTTTTATAAAAACAGATATTTTTAATGATTCTCGAACTAGTGACGTGTCTTAAAATGATCGATATTTTTATTTATCATTAAAAATAACTGTTTTTATAAAAAGTTAAAACTTATGCAAATATAATTAGAGAAGACTTCTTATATGATGTCTTTCGACGCCCTTCAAGCTTTATTTATATTTTTGTAACACCCTGTATAGGCTATGGTGGTCACTTACCATCACACTCCACCATCCACCATCAGGACAATACATAGTGGTTTACCCACAATGCGAAGAGATGTCGCTGCCTTGCAGCCTAAGAAATACTAATGAAAATTTGACACGGCAATTAGGGCCGCGGTAGCATAATGGTCACGGAGGGTGCGAGTTCGAGTCCCGTCTGGTGAGTAATTATAAAAAAAACTTAATATTTAAATATCTAGCAGTTAAATGCTTAAAAAATGAAAACTTTACTATAAAAAATTAATTACGTCACACTACCTGATGTTAACTGTAAGGGAGTCCAGTCGCGAAGATAGATGATAAGGCAGATGGTTTGCCGCTCCAACCATCCTTACCTTGCAGGCTCAATCCCCATCCTTGCGGAACCCAGTAGCTCACCACCACAGTAACTCACCAGTAGAAAACAATATCAACATATGATAGTGTTATTTTAATGTGATCTTCTGGAGGTTGCCTCCCCAAGCTTCCCCAGATGGGCGCTCCAATTAGAACGTTAATTTCGTTGTTAGAGGGAGACATTTCAATACTTATATGTCTTTTAGATGTAAATGCCAATTTTGAATCATTTGTTAAAATCTTCGTCATGATCTAAGTTTATATAAGAAAAAATCTAATGTTTCTACATTAGAATACCTACCTATATTATATTAAACTTCTAAATGAAAAGCTTGCAGCTAACCGCGAGGTAAGTAAGTTGTAGAGTTCCAATATTTACTTACACGCATCGTAGAAATATTTTATGTATAATATTCTTTATCATCAGCCTACTAATGTCCTCACTGCAGGGGCACTGACTTTCCCTATGGCTGGTATAGGGGGTCTCGTACCCACTGGACCTTCAAGACTGAGCCATGACCTACCAAGCGGGCCCAGTGCGGATTGGTGGGCACTAACGACTGCAGATGCAGCTAGGACCAACGGCTTAACATGCCTCCTTAAGAACGGAGGAGCTCGAGATAACAAGTGTTCCGTCACCCATCCAATGACTGACCATTGCTTGACAATCGCGATCGCAGGCCGAATGCGCTAACCACCTGCGCCAAAAAAAAGCTTTCATTCATTGATAAATTTGGTCCGGCACACAAATTTGTAAGATATCATGATATAATCGGTCAAAATATGTTACTATTTAAAAAGCTTTAAAGAAGCCGTGATTTTGACTTTTATGTTTGTTGTAGGATATTCAACGTTAGGTGGGTCAATTTAAAGATTTAATGTGGCTATAGGTACATGTCTTTACAAGGTACACATATTATAATTTAGCCTTTTTTAGATATCACTCAACATATCCTAACTATGGAAATGGGATAAAACAAGTTTCAACGGGTTAGATGCACTGATTTTATTTATTTATTGACGTTTCGCATCCTTTGCAGGAATGCGTGTCTTATGTATTTAATGAGTGATGTGCGTGAAAATCTAAGAAATAAATATGGAAATGGGACTTCGCTTTTTGATGAGCCTGTTAGAGATTTACGCAGTGAATAAAATAAAGAAATATTTCCGACACTCACACCAATTTGCCTAGCCCCAAAGTAAGCACTATAAGGCTTGTGTTATAGGATGCTAGGGTAACGGATAGAATACATAATATACTGTACATATATAAGCATATTTATATAAATAAATATTAAACATCCATGACTGGAGTACAAATGCACGTATTCATCACACAAACATCTGCCCCCACCGGGATTCGAGCCTGGGGCCTCTCGAGTCGGCGACAGCCATGAAACCCGGCGTACAAACCACTCGGCCACGGAGGTCGTTAATGTGAATATACCGATTATAAAAATATCTATAGTATAACTATAATTTCCGAGAAGAAAGTTTTAAATTGGTAAGCAATAATTTTTGAAACAATTAAGAGAGCAAAAGATTAGCAAACGAAAGGGGCGGACAGGACATTATTGCCTAGTAATTAGTATCGACAGTTATCTCTGTTTCTAAATGAGTAAACTTAATTGGTTTCGTATCAAGATTACTTATAGAAATAGTAGATTGTTAACCGAGGGTGGAAAGAATCAATTGCCGAGGTATTTAGACTATAGTCCGAGTAGGAATTGATTCTTTTACCCGAGTTAAACACTGTACTTTTCATTTCGAATATGAGGAAAATAAAACTAGTTGTTTATCAAAAATATTTATTCAAATATAGGTACAATAAAATTAGAAGTAGCTATTTAAAATTAATTGTCATATTAGGAGATTAGT